TAACAAGCACAATAACTAATCAACAAACCTCAGTGCACAGTTTCCAGTACTCTAAGCTATAATGAACTAGTAACCATCTCTGAAATAAGATAATGAAAGCTGAAAACCTTTGAAGGAGCTGTACTACACAATGTTTTTACTCCACAAAGATACATTTGCATAGATACAACCTACAGTAATTTCTTAACTATTCCAGATAAAGAAAAGCTACCCCAAATTAAACACTCTCCTTCAAAAGTTCTTGAAAAAATCACCCCAATAACCCAAAAAAACAGGACTTCTTAAAGCCTACAGAGTTCATAAAATTGTTCAAGAGAAAACATGTCACGTGTGTTCACAATATCCTTCTCTTCATTAACGCAGAACAATTCACAAACTTAATCTTGTATATGTTATTAAAAACCACTATGTATATTTTCCTACCCCCTTGCCCCAGTCAGGTTATCCTGCATTTGAACAGCAGTAACACAACAGAGAATTAGTACTTGCTGGAATCACTTTCTGATTGAAATTAATTGACCATTTCTGCTTACTTGAGTTAGAATCAGTGGTTTAACCTACCAAAACAGGTGCAAAAATGGTTAAGTCTAGGTTGAAATTCCACCTATCATTTCCTGCACATAAAAAGGCAAGAAAAAATTAAAAGGAAGCTATAGAAATTAAGCTTTGAGTATTAAAACCAAAAAGGACAACACTTCAGGCAAACAAATTTAACCAGGGGAAGACTGAAACATAAAAGTTAATCACATGGTAAAGCAGAAAAAGTGCTTAATTGAACTTGCCAGTCATCCTGCTTCCTTTTAACCTGTATAGTACATGTGTAAAGTAAAAAGAAGACTCAGAGGTAAAGATCAATTACTTCATTATATACACTGCTGTTGTTCTATTAGTTTTTGTTGTAAAAATGCTGTTTTACTCCTTTTCCTCCATTCTTCAGGGATCAGCGAATATGTCATAAACCACAGAAATACTGATTACATTTGAGACTGTCAAAGCTATCTTAAAAAAGAAAAATATGCAAAACCTGTACTATATATGTGCTCTAACTCAAAGAAAAAGGCATTGAAACATTTTCAGTGCTATACAATTTCTGGCAACCGCAGAACAGGCACATTCCTCTGCTTATGTGCATCATATCCTCTATCCTGAAGGTTCACGAAAAATGACAATAAAGAACTGCATAGGGTCGTGGTGTGGAATGGCTTACACGAGAGCTGCTCTCATTCAAGTAGCTTTGCCTGTTTTACCAACACAGGGATAAGGACAGACAAGGGGGGTAAGTGATCTTCACATCATTATTTTTTAAAAAATGGCAGCTTCAGATCACACATTTTCCCTGAAGAAAATACATGATGCAACAAATACACATTATCAAAAGACTGTATTTTCAAAACACAACAGAACGATAGCCACGGTTTTATGTGTATTCTGTTTACTTTGATGAGAGCTAGAAAATCCAAATCTGTCCAGTTAAGCCAGTTTCCCTCTGTAATATTCACCATCCTTTCTAAAACAATCAGTGTTACATAGTTTAAAGCCCAAATGCACCTTAAAGAATGCACTAATCACTGGCCACTCTGTAGAGTGTGGTAATTAAGTGAATCAAGATCTTCCCCTGAGTTTTGGAATCGGCTCCTTACTCAGCTGCTACACTGTCAACAGCTGGCATGAATTACTGGGAACATTTGGCTAACTGGATAATAAGGACAACAGCCTGTGGTTGGTCCAAATTCTACTTCACTGGTCTGCTTCAATTACAAAAGAAAAACCCCAAAACAACCAAAAAACCCTAAACCTCATTAGATCCCCTTTTTCTTTTTTTAAACCAGTAACAACACTACAAAGATGGGGTTTTCTATCTGATCCCCTCATTACGTGCAAGCAATACAACTGCACAACTCTCAGATGTTGCATAGGCTGGTGTAACTGAAGGCCCAATTGCCAACAATTTAATGATGCCTGTTTGCACCACTGACTCATCCTCACCCACATACATCTCTCTTGGCTCCGTCATAAATGTTTGCTATTCTGAATATGTTTTCCTATTTGCTAGCAATTCATCAGGATAGATCGCAGTAACAAAACCTCCGAACTCTGCTCCCACCTAGCTTGCTGAAGAGAAAATATCCGTGAGACCAAGCTTTCTCCAAACCACAGCTGTTACAAGAAAAAAATCGTATTATTAGAGACCAAGGCAACCAAATGCCACCGCTGATACTACTTTATATTACTTGCTTTGTACCCATGCAACTACCAAATTCTCTCCAGAAATCAACCTAGGAACCTGGTTCTCATGGGGCAACATGCTCGTAAGTGGTTTTGTGCATGGTCTCTAGTGGGTCCAACTTCCAGAGGCATCTTTGCCCTAGGAAGCTGTGGGGAGTGAGCACGTTTACTAGGCAGTCCTTCTCCTTTTCCTTGTAACAGGTAACAGCGAATCTAAAGAAAACAGCTTCTCAGGTTACAGACCCTGGAGAACAACTCAAATTAAGAACAAGTCTGATATAAAGCAATTACTTTATTATTGCCAGGCATTAACAAAAACCCCAAGTGTTTAGGTAAACTTTGCATGCATGTTACATAGCCAGAGCATTCAGTTACAGCTGTCCTTGAAAAATATTGGATTATCCACTGCCTTTCCTCCCAAAATCAAACATTTAAAGTGTTGGCTTTTTTCTCCTCTTTGATCAAAACAGCACTGTAACTTTCGAGGTAGCAGAGGATTAGTCCAATGAGTATCATGGCTAAAGCTAAACACAAACAAAAAAGCTAAAGCAATTTTAATTTCTTTTTTTAATCTTTGTCGAGACTATTCTCAAACATCTCATGAATTCTAACAAGCATTGTGTTATTATCAACATCTGGTAGCTTAAGGGCATGGTAATCCACACTTTTGCTGTGAGCTACCAAACAGATGTTGCTGAAAGGCTTTTTAATTTTGAAGGGCTGCTCCCATAAAATTACCCAGTGAATTTGTAACTCACATTTGTACTATATTGTTCTTGATTGGGATAACAAGGAACACAGAACAGTATTAGAATTCACATGTCATCTCCCTTACAGTGAAGGCCAACATTTATGCATCATTCTTTTGCAGAGAAAGCAATCTAAGCGAAGGTCAAGCCAGCAGGATAAATGTGGCTACTTTCTGGATTTCAATCATGCCAGTCATAAGTAAGTCACCTTTTGAAAGGTAGTTGATCCTTACTGTAGGGGCTAGAATTTAATAGCATGCAATTGTGGCAGGTAAAAATTATAAATAACTTTCAGATTCTTCCAGTCTTTTATGCCCACACATTGGTAACGTAATTTCAAAGAGAATTTGCACTATGACAATAAAGAATAAGGTATATTGTTGGGGGATAGGAGAGAAAGAAGAATAATACATACTTTTTTAAAAAGTATGTTTTCCAAGTGATGTGTTTTATAAGTTAAACCTGCAAAAAAACCCTGTTGATGGGCAGCCTTTTCGAAAACTAATCTCTTATTTAGAAGAGCTGATGGAAGAAAAGAAAACCCAAATATAATAGATAATTTAGTACTTTCAGACTCAGAAATTTCCCCCCACATAAATACTGACTCTCCAGCTTAAGGCTTACTAAACGAAGTATTACAATGACTAACTTTGGTGCTTTGGGAATCTGACAATGAATGCCCAATTAAAGGGCAGAATATAGAATCACAGAATCATAGAATAGTTAGGGTTGGAAGGGACCTTAAGATCATCAAGTTCCAACCCCCCTGCCATGGGCAGGGACACCTCGCTCTAAGCCATATTACCCAAGGCCTCGTCCAACCTGGCCTTGAACACTTCCAGGGATGGAGCATTCACCTGCCATTATAAAAAAGGAAAATGAAAACAAAACCAGTTTTGTTAGGACACTTCAGAATTGCTGTACTACAGGAAAAAGTGGGCACCAGTGGCACAAGAGGAAAGGCTCACATGAGAGAATCTGAACTCCCTTTCAGCTTCTTATCCTACCATAGGCAACAGACACCCTCACCTCAACAAGTTCCAACTGGTAACAAGGAAAAAAAGGAAAACTGTCAGCAATGTTTTGTTAGGAAAGATAATAGAGGATTTCTGTAGAAGATCCTGCTAACAGTCTAAAGCAAAAGGAAAAGCAAGAAGACTGCATCTTAAGAGAAGGACAAAGGTGGTTTGTGTCCTTTAAAGGAGATAAAGTGAGACAAAAGCAGGAAATGCTGTCCTTCCCTTATCCTGAGAACTGCTTAATGAAAGGTCAAGTATAGCCATCAATCAAGATAAGGAAGAGGCAACCAAAGAGATGACCTTCTTTGAGAGGAAACACGTATGTATCAGATAGCGCTCTTAACACTGATGTAGTGCTCCCTCTGTATATGTGAGAGAAAAGAGAACAGTTTCATGACAGTGTTAAAAAAAGAGTAAAAATTAAACACTTGGAATAGAACAAAATCAGACATGCAAGAGCCTATTAAGTCAAAGACTAGCAGCCAAATAAAAGCTTGCTTCCAAATTTGTGAGGAATGCAACGGAATTCTATTCCTCATGCTCCTGCACCTTGGCAACTGGCTTCGGAGGTGCATCTCCTGGGGGCAGCCACCCTCACTAGTTTGTTATTGATAAGCTGCAAGAACTTATTACATGCACTTTAAACTTCTGGTTTAAAGTTTGTTTGACTTTGGGTTTAAAGTCTTTTGAAAGAGAATTATCCATTTTCAGCCACAGTTACAAAATTAGTTTACAATGTTCACCTGTGAGTTATGCTTATGATGTCATTTTGGGGATGAAAAATCAGATTGCATGGAAATGCATCTAAAGTAGATAAAATGAAATATCCATCAAAATCAAAGGGAAGTGTAAATACTTCTCCAATGCAAGCCTTACACAGTTATTCTTTGATGGATAACTAGCTGGATAACCCTTTGCTTAGCCAACAACAGTTAATTTCTTGGTCTAGTTTTAAAACATGTAATTGTTTCAATATCACTCTTCAAGAAAAAAATGACAGATTTACCAGCTCACGAGGTAGAAAGGCTTCCTCCTGACGAGCCACCAACAGACTGACAGTTTCCCCTTGCTTTGTGCTCCTCAGCATAGCCACAAGCTCTTCTTGGGTTCTGCCAGTGACGTCCTGTCCATTCACCTACCAGACACAAAAGAACAGACAATATCATGTCTGTATAACTGTCTTTCATCATGTGCCCCTCACCTAACACAGGTGTCATTCAGTGACTGAGAGCAAAGAAGAATTAGCAACAGCTCCCACACTGTCTCTCCCTCTGGCCCTGCACAAACCACTTAACCTTTTTCCCTCATTTTCACCATCTGTTAGAGCAGCTCTGTAGTACTTACCCACCTTGCAGGGGGTTTGTGAGGCTTAATTAGTTTGTAAAGCACTTTGAAGATGAAAAGTATAGAAATAAGACCTAAGTATTAAAACTGTTTACTTTGACAGCTTTTTGAGGGTAGTAAGTAAAACAACCCATTAGATGAGGCTGTAAGTCACAAGGTATCTAAAAATATTAAACAGACAGATTTGAGCAAAATTGCCTTCAGATGAACGCTTAACCGCCTTGATATTAATCTGAGATTTTTGGACATGACTGAGGACCATGCTCTGTTTCTAAACTGATACATTTATCTGCTTTAAGAACCAAGATTTTATTAATTTCCCTCTATTCAAACAGGCACGGGTCTTTGTAAAAAGCACCTTTTTCCAAATCACAGTGTCAAATACTTGTTGACAAATAATACAAAAGACATGAGACTTTTTTTTTAAGGCAAGATCAAGAATTGTAATTCCATCATCAGTAGCATGTATAAGGAAATAAAACATTTATGCCCAAACCAGCAGTCAATACTCAGCAATGCAAATACAAGGGATGTTTATCCTAACCTCTAGGATTCTGTCTCCTGACTGCAAACGACCATCTTTTACTGCTGCACCTTTTGGTAAAATATTCTTCACAAAAATCGGACCAGGACCGTGCACTGAAGAGTCTCTAGTAACCACAGTGAAACCAAGTCCTTCTGGACCTAGAAAGTCAGATTAAAAACTCTCAATATAAAATTGAAGAAGAAAATGATGATCATTAAAAGTAAGTCAACCATGTCAGACCATATTACAGGCACTCATTCAGGTTAGCTCTTAAAAAAGAAAGCAAACAAAAAGCTGTAAACACAAGTATTTTCTGCACATCTGCACAATGCTATTGATGTCAGAACACATGCCCAAATCCTCCTGCAACAGCTACAAACGCAGATACTTTTGGATACTCCACAATAATACAAAACAAGCGAGAACTTTCATTTTAAAGTGTTTACATTTTCTCTCGGTGGTTTTAGTATCAGCCTTCACATTGATGTCAAGTCTTTGAAATAAATCAGAGCAATCAGAATTGTTTATTTATGAGCATACATATAATTTAGCAGGTTTTACTAAAGCTTGGTGAGAAGTGGAAAATGTCACATGACTCGAATGCAAAAACTGCTGAAAACATGCTGTTAAGAAAGGACAAAGTAGTGTTTCAAAGCTTCCATTAAGTGGAGTTGTTTGCTGCTTGGAAATAAACAACCTCAAGCATTCATAGATAAATGTGTTAACAAATAATTAGGGAGTAAAAATCAATATTAGCAGGTACTGCTTATAAGCCACCAAAATCACCCAGGAACAGCAGGGTCCATAAAAATCTTTTTTATATTGAGCAGGATTGCTACCCATTGTAATAGCCTTCAGAGATACCATCTCAGTATCTCATTCCTATTATTTCTAAAAATATAAATTACTGTTACAAAATCAAAAGCATTACACCTAAAATACGGAGAACACTGAAGCAGGTTTTGTTAACACAAAGCTGAAGAGTTCAGGAGTAAAAATGAGTGATTTAAGTTAAGAAATAACAAAAAATTAAGAAATGACAGCTTGATTACATTCATTACATGTTAAAAGCATAAAGTTACAGACAGTTTTTAAAAGGGCCACTTCTGGCATCAAATTTAAGTCTCAGCCAAATCAGAGACAAAAATTAAATGGAAAATATAAATGCTAATTGGGATCTGCTTGAGCACATTTTACTACATGTGCATAAACTTGCTACTCCACGCAAAAGAAGACATCTGCACTGAGCAGCAATTAAAGACATAAACGTAAAATTCAGCCTGCTTGACAGCTGAATAAATACAGATGGGAAGAAAGTGCAGAAAAAAAGGGAAAGACAGGTAAATCTGTAGTCAGCTCCTTGGATAACATGAAACAGAGCAGAATGTATTTTTAAACAGATCTTTAAAAGCATGTTGTACCAGTGCTGTGGTCAGTCAGCAGATATGAAGAAAACACATCATCATCAGACAGTTCACATTTTCATTCTGTACTTATGAAAAGTCTAAAGATCTCTTAATACTGCATGCTGCTAATGAAATACCTTCTGCATCATCAGTATCAGATGTTTTAAAATCAATAGTTCTAGGGAACATGCACCCAAAATTTATCAGAAAGCTGACTGGTGAGAACTTCACTGTTAACAGACCTCTACTGTTTGGATGTTTTGGAACTTTTCAACTACACTTCTAATGTCACTAGTTTAGTTAAATCATGTATATAATAGTTAAATCATATATATTTAGTTAAATCATATATATATATAATCTCACTATAGAGAACATGATACAGAATTAATCATATCATCTCCAAAATCTTACCTTTTTTCAGGTCAATCTTTATTTTCTTCGCATTTTTTTTATTGCCAAAGCCCATAAGTGGAGACAGGGAGGGAGAAGATGGCTTTCTACCCAGACGTGGGAGGTTGGGGCTCTTAGCTTGTTGTAGTGTTGCCTGTACACCTGCCTCAAAGCTGCTTGCTCCAGAAAGATTAACTATTTTCAGAACAGGTTTTGGATGAACAGGAGGTGGAATCTTTGTTTTTGCAACTCCTTCTTCGTTATCCAGAAAACAAAGAGGAGCAATAGCAGACTTCTCATATTGTTCTCGATTATACGAAGGAAGGATTTCCAAGATGACACTTGGAAACTTCATTGCCTGACGGAAGATGTCCTGAGCCCTTTAAAGGAAAGGTATGAAAATTCACTTCACAAACTGGAAAATTTGGGCAGAGTTTGAAGTTATTTTAAACTCCTTTACTTTTCAAGTAGGAAAACCACATCTGTCAGAATTCCTGACATCAGCCAGAATAAACTAATGAACACAGTTCTGCATGCGGTACATGAGGAATGGAAGTTCTGATGGCAAAAGCTCACCAAAAGACTCCTGAAGACATAGGTTGTTACCTTTTTCAAGTGTTTGTCTGCTACATATTTTCTTGTTGGCATAGAAGCACACTGAGCACTTATGACCAATTGCTCTGGTGGATACAACTGCTCTGAGCAAGCTCAAGACTCTGCTTATTCCAACTACAGCCTAACTGCCCCTCAGATTCCTTAATCTTTTCATTTTCACCTAATGCAACTACTGGCTGATTCTACAGCTGTAAAAAAGGATGAGGGTATGGGATATATTAGATATATTTCAGAAGAAATATTGTGACTGCAAATGTTGCAATACAAAAGGATGATGGTATGGGATATATAAATATCATTTTTAAAAAAAGGTGTACAAAAAGGTGCAACTCTTTGTGTGGTTCTACCTAAACAGATAAATAAATAAATAAATATTACTCACATCTTCCAAGCAGTAACCTCTTCCGAAGGTGGGCATATAGACTTAATAAATGCCATTATAGGTGTGCTCAATTGCAACATCAGAAACTGTGTCAGAGCATTTAATGAAACTACTCCCCTTGAACTGGTGGCATGGTAACAATACAGACTTCAGGTTCCCATGCATTTCAAGGCAATTAAGACAAGTCAACCAAAGCAACTGTTCATAAAGCTTTCCCTGGATTTTGAGTAACCAATAGATCTGGACAATCAAGATATTTTACAAACCCTGGATTCTAAAGGAACAAAGGATGCTTCTCTCTCTATATGCTTTCCTCTCCCACCTTCTGATGAAGTGCACTGATTTTCTTCCATATTGCATAAGACAACTCAAGTACAAACAGAAGTAGTAGCTGAAGCACATTTTGAGAATGAAAAATCAAGAACTCTTGCTTAGCAAAACTAGGTCAAGAGGGGACGTAGTGGCCACATTAATTTTTAAATAAATCATGGTGTCCTTTTGAAAACAATTTACAGTTCTCCCACCTTTCTGCAGCATGTCTGTCAGTCAAAGTCAATATTTTACTGAACTCTTCGCTATAGATTTACACTCAGTTATGCAACAGGAGTTAATCTTGAATGTACTTCCAAAATAAACAGCTTTTTACACGTATACAGAAAGGAAGCTACTGGAAACGTTAACATCTTGAATACACACCTATTGCTTTCCCAGGTGAAAGCCACATGGTACTTCCACCTTGCAGCTATACACAGCGGAAGGAAGGGTTTGTTTTCAAGAAGGTTTTTTGCAGCATGAAGATACTGAAGTCAGGGGGCAGTCCCAATGGATATTGCTGTGGGAAAGTACCATCTTGTCTACACTGAGTGTATGGGCACCAAGGGTCAGAATAATTAGTTGACAAGAAGCTTTCAGAAGAGAAACCTCAAACTCACAAAAGAAAGGTAGCACTGAGAGTGCTTTAAGGAAGGTATACTTTCAGTATCACCCTCAAAGATTATGTTTCAGATCTGTAAACAGCACTGTCCCTCAGAGGTTATAGTTTACACTCTCATCTGTGGCCTGTAAGTGTTTCCAAGGACAGACCTTACTCTGATAGTAGAAACTATGACATGCTCCCAGCATGAGGATGTAAACTCATAGTCGGGTTTCTTTCACACCCCATCTTCATCCTTGCAAGTAGCCACTTGGTCATACATTGCAAGGTAATTTAATAACTCAAGTTTCAAGAGATGAATATTTTAAATATATGAAAGAGAAAATATAAGACGATCTTCAAACAAAAAATAGTGTAAATAACACCAGACATCCTGTGGGAAAGCTCTTGAGGGGCAAAATAACTGGCTGCACTTCAAAGAGAAAAAATAATGTATGGAGGAATTTACATTTCTTGAGACCCCAAATGCATACTTTAAAAGAAGTAAGGGAGTCAATTAAAAGAGGTGCTAGAAACTCTGCAACACAACAGAATGTAATTGAATGGATTAACAGCAAATGAAAAAGCAGACCAAGAGTCCCAATAAATAAAACTATTATAAACATGGGAATACAGAAAGTAGGCTGCTATTACAGTTGCAGGAGCAGCAACCATCAGGAGCAATACTAGAAAGTCTCCGCTGAAAACGGAGACAGTATGTAACAGTCTCTGCTAAGTGTTAAAACAGCTTTTACAAGGGTTACGATGAAATGTCAATTTGAAACTAGCAAACAGATTTTCCTCTCAAAGGAGTATCTGATGACTGCTTCTGGGTCAACAATTATTGGGACAATACTCGTCACATCCATTGCAATTACTACATTTCTGTGACTTGGACTTCTGTCAGGTTAGTACAGCTATGTCATGCCAGATGAAAACTAAAAGACATATCCACTGAGAGTTTCAACCTGAAAAGCTGCATTCTTAGCCATTCTCAACAGCCAAGGAAGATGGATGATGCCAGAAGGCTGTTCTGGGAAGGCAAATTCAGCAGAACAATGTTACAGCACATGGGACCAGGCTAAAGCTTGTCCAAAATACTCCTCCCAGCCCCTAAACGATGTGGAGTACTCATTGCCCCCAGTTTTTCTCCTCAGATCCAACACCACGAAACCACTACTTGTAACTGTAATATAAGGTGATTTAGACCAATTAGATTACATCCTGCTCTGAATCACATTTTAGTTACTTCTCTCACTCTCCCCATCACAGAGAGAGATTGTCTAACAAGACCAGCCTCTCTAAACTAGCAACCGTCTTTGTGAATATCTTATCCAACTCCCAAAACATTACAACTTGGAGAAAACTAAGTCTCCTGCATTTCTCATTTTGAAGGAAATGCCTGATGGGGAACTGGCAAGTTTACTGCAGTACTTTTAACTGTCCCAAAATCTAGTAACCTTATAGAAAAATTTGTGGAGTCCTCCACTCCACATATATTTCCATGGGTGTAAAGTCTCTGGAGAGCTAGATACCAAAAAAAAAAAAAAAAAAAGATTACATATAATTTTGAAAAGGGAGGTTTTGATTCAGGCAAAATCTCACTTGAGAAGGATACAACTTCATTACAAAACTGCACAGGTGAGGCAACAAACATTTTCATATATAACATTCATGTTCTGATAAAGTCGGTATCTCATGTAGCAACATTGGTGGAAGAGAATGGCACGTATTGTATTGCAGCAGAATATGTTTACCACCAAATATGCAGAAAGCAGAAACTTAAAAAGCTGTTAAGCAGCAAAAAGCACAGCCTCAAAACCAAGGTAAATACCCGCACTACAGAACTATGCTGGTTTTATGAAAACCTATTTTGCAAATATTTATCCCTAACAGTGAAATTACTTATTGGATTTTAGTCTGGAAACCTTGAACTGTTTAGAAAGTTAAGCTTCAACTCCCTTGACATCTCAATAGATTTTTGTTATATTATAAACAATCACTCAGCTGTCTAAACATATGGATTAAAAGTAAAAACAAATTACTGTTTAATTACTACAGCAAATATCTGTGAAATTTGAGAGGCTATTCTTTTGTGCAACAATGTCACATTAATTCACAGCCTATCAAAACAACCTGTTACTTCATTTGAGATAGGGAATAAATGTCAACAGATTTGTAATAAAAGTCATAAGAGGTGAGACTTCCCATTTAGCTCAACTAAGCACAGTTTGACAGTAGTAGTATTTTTAAAATATTAAATGCTCAGAAAGCTGCAGCACCAAAAGAAACCCAAAATGGATCTTATTTCATTTGCAAAAGCTCATAAAAACCACGCTGCAATGTTGACTCATTCTGAAAGTCTTATGAGGGAAAAATTACAAAAAAAAAATATGGAAAGAGATAACAGAAAAATTAGAAAGTGAAGATAACTATTAAGAATTTAAAGCTACTTAAATTAAGTAAGCACAATAAGTTCACTAAGACTCCAAGTCAATTCCTTCCCTCAGATTTCACATTATTTGAAGGCTTCAGAAAGAAAATTACAAAGTCTCTGCCAGGTACCAATTTTACAGGCATTTTATCTGAAATAAATACTAATCCCTTTGCATGAATCACTTAATAAACACAGCACTGTATAAAATCCTGGCTAGTTAAAAGTATCTGCAAACTAGCACTTACTGTGCAAAGGTTTTATCTGTAAGGTCCACATGGTTAATCTTCACAATGCATTCATTTTCATGGAATAGACCATCACGCCTGGACCTGCTGTTTTCTTCTATACCACGGATGAAGAGCCCCAGCATCCTAAAAGACACACACACAAAAAAAGTGAAACCTATCCTTATTCTGATGAATGAATCTATAGCAACTAAAAATAGATCTTAATCTCTACCGTGTATCAGATGAGACAGAGTAGACCACTATGAAGGGTTTAGCCTGGAGAAATTATTTCCAGCTTGCTCTTTATCTAAAAGGCAGGGGATTTCAAGAAACACCAAGAAAAACTGCTGGATACTAATGCTATGCTGCTTGCTAGAACTTGGGGAACCACAGTCCCATAAGTCATACTTGGAGAAAAAGAAGAAAACACCTAGATCTCCCTATCCAGTAAAACATTTGAATGTAGTTTAAGCAATATTTTTCTGAGACTAAGAAAACTTAAAATGCTCCAAAGAAATGCACAAACAGATAAAAAGTAATTTTGTAACTCAACTACAGTAAACTGAAGAGGCATTAGGGAAAAAAAAACAAAACAAACCAAACCCAAAAAACCAAACCAAACACTATTTCTACAAATGAAACTTTCTAGTTGCCAAAGTCCCTTGTTTTGATACATGACAGCAATACTATTTATTCATGGAGCAGGAGAGCAGCAGAACATCAAAATCTACACAGAAACTATTGATAATGTGGTAAGAAGACACGTATGGGTGGTGCAAAATTCCATTGTGGCTAACTGCTGGGAACACTAGGCTAGTTCTGTCCTACCTGGCGCATCGCTGGACTGCAGACTACAACTCAACATAGATTTATCCAATGATACCATCATAATGTCCAAAATACCTGACAACTGCATGTTTGTGAAGAACTTTTATAATCAAGTTTTACCCACTAAATTTCCATACCACATCAGCATTGAAGGCAGATGACCTTTAGAGACCATTTACTACTGGTTGTACTCCATAAAATATTAACGTGCAATTTCCAACATGCCAGCATTCCAACAACAAAATGGAAGTCTTGTATTTTTTTCTCAGATTCATGACTGCCCCTCATATTTAAGTCTATTCAACAGATTCACAGCATGCCATTAACTATTTCAAACAATGCTATTATGTTCACTGTGAACCTGGTTTTAGATTTACTGCATGAAGATTTAAAAATTTATATCATATCAATGTACTTTAAGCAAAAACTTTGTTCCTATTGACTATTAATTCTTCAAAACATCTAACACAATAAAAAGATTTAATCTATCACACAAAGATTCTCATGCAACCAGTGTTACCCTTCACTCAAGGATTCAAAGGGGAAGTGGTGGTAAGGGGACACAGCTCTATTGACGACAAACATCCAACTAGGGGCAATCAGCCACCAAAACCCTAATAAAATATATAATAAAACTATTAACTATAGAACTAATACTATATATACTATATACTGTAAATTCTAAACTAATACTATAAATACTATATATTTACTATAGAACTAATAAAAATAATTATGTTAAGATGCAAACCAATAAAAGTAAAAAAATAAAAGAAACTACAAATTAAGTCAGATGCTCACTATTTCTGTGATACTTAGATACTGCATCCATATACTGCAGTAGGATTGCCCACTTATCTGAAACTCGTGTGTGCAAGTGGTTTGAGTTACATGTGCTGTGGCAGCTTAAATTCATTACTCCATTACTTTTTCCCATAGACTCAATTTTAGCATTATTTTAATACACCATTAAATTTTAATTTCTCTTTTTAATGATATCTAAGTGCAAAAGAAAGGGGAGAAATTATTTCTATTAGTTTTGTAGTTCCTGCAGAAACTAAGATTTTCTCAATTAATACAATTTTTAATGACCTCTAGAAAAAGCTTGCTCTGCAGCAGCACTGGGCTAAAGCCAGCATTACCTTGTTAGAAGATAATGCTGCAACTGAAATATGAGACCAAGTTAGTCATGGCCAGCGTGCCCCCATAAACTGCTATCTTGTGATTAACAGAAATAAAAGATGCTCTTCTGCACTTTCTCCTGTTATGATGAGTTAAAATTTATACACTAGTCTCAGGCTTGATTAAATAAGAGGGACAAGCAATTTAAGTCACTCTAGTGCTTTTACAAAGATATCGGTATGCTACTGCCAAGGGTCATTAAAATTTCAAGACAACTGTCTAAACCAGTAGTCCACCTGTCAAAAACCCCTTTGCTCCAGGGGATCACCAAAAGCATTTGCAAATAAGGACATATTATCACACATGCAATGTAGACCAAGGAACTCCATGTTTTCTTCATGGAGGTCTTTAAAAGCTGCACCTAACACACTGATACTTCAGTACAGAACTGTATTACAGTCACAATAATTACTGATTTTAATAGCTTGCAATTTCACCACATTTTTACCTAATGATCGTGAAGTAACAGTGTAAGCCCTACAACCTTTATGGCATACCTATAACAAAGATCTATTGTCTCCATTTCATGAAGGGGTAACAGACACAAGTGCCTTTCAAGACAAAGAAGCAGACTGCACAGTCAAGGACACAACTCTGACTTCCTACAGTTCCCACTGAAGACCAACTTTCTTCTTGAGACAGTGATGATACTTTTACAGGCAGCAGGTGGATGTCCATTTTCCCTTTTGGTAACGAAAACCTTGTGAATGAATTTGGGTCTACTTACAAACTCGGGTCTTACCAAGAAAACATTTATATACGCAGACCTTTCCAAGGCAATTTAGTCTTTCACATTCTCTGTTCTACATGAAAGTTGACAAGTAAAGAAACACTTAAGAATTAGACAATTTTTACTTTTGCAATAATTGTCTTTGTGTTACAGGCAGCCATTTTGCTATCAGGTAGTGTCACTTACGACTCTGGCAATTTCCCATCTCTTATTCAGAGCTGCCAGTGTCAAATTAATTCTCTGGTTAAGGCTCTGCATGTCAAATTTCAGCCTAGAATTTTTTATATTTTAACATCTGGGTTACCTAGCTTGAAAACCAGTTAGAATGAAAATGCTGACACTGTCTTAACTACAGTGCATCAATATGAGCATGCTGCTATAATAGGCTTTTGTGATCTCAACAGACTATGTTAAATCATTTATAATTAAAGTAATTGTATTGTGACAAAGAAAAGTTCATGGTATAGTGCACATTTTATAAATGCTATACAACCAGAACTGAAGGGTGGCTTGAAAAATATAAGGCACGACCAGATAAGAAAAGGGTTTTTTTTATTTTTCATGTCTGATATGTCACTAAGGAAGGGCCTATGAAGAGAAATTCAACAGGGGATGGGAACAAACAATAAAAAGAAAACTAACCGTTCCCTCCGCCCTGAAACACCCCCCCCCCCCCCAACTAAACTCAAACCCTACACCCACAAAACCAACTCGACACCAGAAAAAACAACTAACCCCCTAGGCCTCCACCTTTAGTATTACATTGTTCTACAGAGACTCTACCATTCAGAGAATAAAACCAGAGGCAATTAAAATGACATACAGGAACATACGGGCAGGTATCGTCTTACACGTAACTTAGACTAGAAAATATTTTGGGGTGTCATAGATGAGTTTTCATTTGACCATTTATTTTCCTTATGGTTAAATCATAGGTATTTTAAGAGAACTACAGCTGAAATCCTTTCATAAATACACTTCTAAGCAATGCAGAAAATCCTTACCTTCCACTCAGTGATGAAAAAAAGGGTACTACATGTATTCCCAAGGGTCCACCTTCCCCAGAAATCTCCACTGTTTTTGTCAGCTCACTAAAAAAGAGCACAAGGAAACATATCTCATATGCTTCTTCACAGAATTCTCTATGTTAAAAATAAACTTCTGATTATTTAGATAGTGAAAAAGGTAGAAAAAATATTCAACTCTGAGCTCACAAATATGTAAAAATACAATGAAATGTAAAATGGCTATCAAATTCTTTAATTTTTTAGATTAGCATTTGTGTACTTTGAAAGACACCAAGTATTCGACATTTTCCTAAGTCAACACTTAAGTAAATTAACCAGAATATTAAAGAGTAAGCTTGTAAGTCAGGAGAGACTTCATCAGTAAAACGAAAGGGTTCTTCTACATGTTCTTAATTTAAGCTCCACATGAGCTGCTTCAGGCAATTTCCCCATAGGGATACATTATAAACACAAAGATCACACATTAAGGACATCAAGCCAGTAAGTAAATTAGTCAAATCATATTTAAATATCTTGATTTCTGCTATCAGTTGCAGAGCCTCACTAACAAAGAGCAAAACAAACTAAAATCCAAAGTGCAACTCAGCTCATTTTATCAGGAAGCTTCCTTCCTCAAACACCATTATCAGAAACTTCTACATTGTCTCTGTCAGATTTTTGCTGTTTCATGGCTATGTGCCGTTTTCATTTCCTATTGAGTATTTTACACTGCCAGCCTTCCAGTGACCTTAACTCTATTCTGGGTGATTATAATTTGAAAAGGAAGCTATTTGAATTGGCTAAAACATTAAAAAAAAAAAAAAGAAAAGGAGATAAATGGGTGTAATGTCTGTATTCAAGCAGACCACATTCCTTCTTTCTATACTTACCTACTTTAACACCCCTCCCTTCAAATTGTACTGAACACCATCAACACTCAGGATTAGTTACAGTGGAAAACTACTGGAGTTTTGCATTGCCACTAAAACACCCTAACAACCTCAAGCTGTAAGAAGCTCTGTGCTTGCACACCAGTCCTATAGCCTTTACAGAACACATAAAACTGAATGAAATGGCCACTTAACGGACTGCCTGAGTTGAAGACTCAGCCTAACTGATGTAAATGGAGGCTGCTGTTGAGAATAAGATTTCTGACCTTTCTCTAAAAACCATGCAACAGATCTAGAAAGCCCACATTTGCAAGATAAGATGACCAAGCTGACCCTTCTGCATCACCCTACCCTCCCCCCCCCCCCCCCAAACGATTTTTTTCCTAGTACAACTTCCTCTGGGATCAGCTGACTGGTCTCACTGACCCATGGGCTTATGATTGTTGGGTATGATGCAAAAAGCAGCAGAAACTCACAGGCAGAACGGAGGAATCTGTGACCAGCCAACACACAGTTACACCGGATTAGCTACAACATAAAAACACACAGCACAGCTCGGCCCTCTCACAAGGAGGACAATTACTACAACTGATCTTAGACAAAGGCTGGCATTGCTTCCTCATAATGCAAGAATTCTTTTGATTTTTTTGTAATGAACCTTCATCCAGCTTCATAATAATTAATCAGAAGCAACTTGCCCTAAGATATAATAATTCTTAGCTTAGTCAGCTTAATATGGGATTAATCCTATGAAATAAATTCATATGATTTTCTCCTGGTCTTGGAGCTTGGAGAGGTGTGTGAGTTGTTTGTTGGGAGTTTTGGGGAGGGGTTTTTTTGTTTGTTTTTGTTCATTATTATTCCCAGAAGTCCAACACTGGAATGTGACCAAATTTCATGGACTTGATTTTCTATAAAATTGAAATGGACAGACCCTGAACAAGAAGCAGCTACCACTGATCCCAATGTAACAGATTTTCATGTTGTTATATTTATAACAGACACAATCAAGAGGCATTTCTATTTGCTGATCCTCTTGTCTCCCATATTTCCCCCTCTTCATAAATCAACCAGGGAAATCCTGACAAAATCTTCCTGTAAGTTTCTTTTTGGAGACATTTGTTTTCTAGTGAAACTGGCCAGAAAAGCTAATGAGGGTTGTTACCAAAAGCTCAAAAATGCATGCATAGGATATCAAACCTTCCTTCAATTCCATCTTCTACTTCCTCCAATTCTCTTAAAAAAAAAAAAAAAAAAAAGTTAAAAAACTACTTTATTGCCTTTTGAAATTCTACAGAGCTAAAACATGAGCAAATTAAGTAGTCAAATCCTATAGATCCAGAAAATAATCAGAAGTAGTGAATGGGCTTTCATCTGAACAGGAAAAATCTAAATAAGTTACTGTTGTCCCCACATAACCCCATGTCACTTAAGTACTCCAGGGAAGTTGTCTTCCCAAATAACTGTAAAACAGAGCAGGGATTTTTTTTGAGGGCTATCATTACAGACAGGTTAGCTGTCATATTAAATCAATGCACTTGCAGCTGTAAGAAGGCTCAAAGCCAAAGACAACACGCAAGTTTAGTTTTAAATCTAACATGAAATCTCCACACTAAGAAAAATATGTTTCTTTGTGAAAACAAATAGCCCACATAGAATCACAGAATCATAGAACGGTTAGGGTTGGAAAGGACCTTAAGATCATCAAGTTCCAGCCCACTTGCCATGGGCAGGGACACCTTGCTCTAAACCATATTACCCAAGGCCTCGTCCAACCTGGCCTTGAACACTGCCAGGGATGGAGCATTCACAACCTCCCTGGGCAAACCATTCCAGTGCCTCACCACCCTAACAGGAAAGAATTTCCTCCTTATATCCAATCTAAACTTCCCCTGTTTAAGTTTTAATCCATTACCCCTTATCCTATCACTACAGTCCCTAATGAAGAGTCCCTCCCCAGCACCCCTATAGGCCCCCTTCAGATACTGGAAGGCTGCTATGAGGTCTCAATGCAGCCTTCTCTTCTCCAGGCTGAACAGCCCCAACTTTCTCAGCCGACCTTCATATGCACATTCTGTATTAGTTTTGAAAACTCTGTGGCACAACCTGAAAGTCATGGATATAAGGAAGCACTAAATATCCAGAATAAGAGCACATTCTGTATACATATATAAAAGGTACTTTAGAATTATATTTTAAGAAAAATCTATGAGTCAGAATGACTTCTCAGGACAAAAGTGATTCTTACATCTGAGACAAAACTGTCCTACATAATAGCTTTAACAGATCTTTGAGGAACGTGTTTTTTAGAACTGTTTTCATTGTTTTGTTTAGGAACCTCAAAGATCAGAGACTTGGAAAAATTTGACATTATTCACTAATGCTGTCCATCTTTCAGCAGGTTTAATCTGCCCACAAGAACAGTGAACTCCAGCTGCGTACTACTCCACACTGGTTAGTTTACACTACATTGGAGAAAGTATGCAGGAATAGGGCATGGCTGAAGGAGATCCTAAACAGGGGGAGCTTTAAGAATTCTAATTACTAAACACCCAGGGGAAAAAGGGACAGCAAAATGCTGGGACTCTTTAGTTCGACAGAGTCAAGTACAAAAACTGAAAGAAGGGGGTAGGAGAAAGCAGAATGGCTTTCCACTGCTGGTTGATAGCTATGATACTGACAACAAAGAGGATAATACATACAGATATATTCTTACAGAAATCAAAATAAGTGAACTTTAAAAAAAGCATTTATCTCAGTGAAATGTATCAGAACTGCAGGGCTCATCCAAACCAGAAACACAGCACTCGGGCTTCTTTATATGCATGCTGGCATCTCCCTTCCCCTTGCTGCACTAGAGGTGCCTCAGAGGTCTCAGCAAAGGGAGGACACCTGCCTAGCATGACCTGACTGTGGCATCCAAGACCACATTCAATATTGTACTATTGATTTTTAACCTGCAGAAGCTCTCATCATTTACTATTTAAATTCTTCATTGCTTGATGTTTATTGATTTCTGCCAGATTCTTTACAGTCTATCACATTTGTCAGGAAGGCTTGCCATGCATATTATTAAAAATGTTGATGAGTACAGTTTAGCAAAGAGAAGATGTATGTATGTGCATAGTGAGGGTACACAGAAGTCCATGTGTAACATGGAAAGCAAAACTTAAATGGAGTGCTGCACATATCCAGTGGTGAATCAGTCTGATGTTCAGATTGGCAGTGACCTGGCTGTTGAATTCTATGGCTCCCCCTCCTGAGAACTGTATCAAGAATTAGCAGTTTGTCAGTTATGCAATGGGAAAAGGTCTTTTAGCTGAAACCTTCTCTGCACTATCCAATAATACCAAAGAACCAATCTCAACCACTGAGCAGACAGATCTGGAAAGACCTCTCTCCAGAAACAGACTATGTGCAGCTCTCCAACCGGACCTAGTTTGCTAACGCACTCTGACCTTCCCCAGTGACAAACATGAGGAGAATCTTTGTAGGGTATTTCTTGGAGAGTGCAGTAGATGCAGCCTGAAGCAGACTGTTTTGCAACATACTGAAGACAGTACCTTGGGAAAAGCTGCATTCTGCATGGGTTACGGGGAAAAACTTGTCATCATATGCATGTCACAAGAATCTACTGCTTGAGTAAACACAAATCAAGCATTTATCATTCCAATGGCATATGCTTTTGCCAATTTAGGCTTATTCAACACTTGCACATAAGTCTTCAATTCAGGCACAACATGGCAAAGTGAAAACCTTTGCATAGATCACTGAATTCCTCATATGTGTTTAAGATATAGATCATTAAGCTGCTGCCTCTGAAAAGAAAAAAATCTCTTAGCTCAGGATGTCAGCGTTTCCCTTGCAATCAGAAAAGCACAGCTGATACTGTGAATGCGCTTTGTGGTGGTGCTGACCACAGCCAAGTAAAAGGCAAAGGAAATGTCACTCTGATGCAAGGTGCTCACAGATGAAGTTACGAAGCTGCACTCCCTTACTTGTTCTTCACTTGCGCTTCCCACCCAATGAGCCAATGCTGCTGTTCCAGCAGGGGAAAGCATCCATTAACAAGGGGTGCTGACATCTGGTAGAGAGCACTGGCCTACAGGTAATACCATGATACCAAATGGAATTTTAAAGAGGAAGTATGCACGGATTTATCCAAATAAAGAGGGTGGTGACGCTGTCTATGAA